TGTGCCTGGATTTTTTCTGGCTCCTTCTGCAACAATTTTAGCTCGGTTTTTTTTGTGTTTTTTGTTTTGTTTATTTCAACACATGGTAGTAAACAAGTTTTGTCTGGGAAGGAGGGTAGAAATGAACTAATGCACACTCAACTCTAAATCTGCAAAGAACATGAATTGTTAGAGACCTGACATGACAAATGACTGATCAAAGTTGGACAATTGATCGTTTCATACTGAAACAAGTAAGCAGACTTTAAAACCAAAAAGGCTTCCAATATGAAGTTATCGCAGGGCTGTCTATGCTGGCTGACTCCCTATTCCCCCCCCCCAAAAAAAACCAAAAATTAAATTGTTACTTTTGGTATCAAATTGAAACTTAAGATATCTCTTCAAAATTTCATTGAAATTTGATGAGGCATTGTGGGGATAATCTTAATTACGTAAGACCATCGCTTTTGTTCTGTCCATTGGGATTTACCACAGCAATCAAAATGCAAAGCTTAAAGCTCTTTAATACCCTTTAATTCATGGGATCACCGGAAAGGCCTGCAAAATTGGGACACTGAACCGTAAAGGGTTCTGTTATGCTAAAAATCTGTTTTATGTCCCACTTATAAACAAACAGGATCCTGAAATGGTTCAAAGAGGTTAATGTTACAGAAGGAAATGAAAAAAGTACTTGTTACAAATTGATTGAGGTAAACTGCACAGGTTCAGCTGAAGTTGCTTTCTCTGGCACAAGCTCAACAAAGTTTCATCAAGTCTACAGCTAGAAAGAAACTTGAAAGAAGTAAGTAACCAGAACGGTTGTGCGATAATATAGGATTTGAGTTGAGTGACAGCACTGATTTGCAAGACCCACTGTATAAACCTCCACTGGACAGAAAGAAAAAAATAAATTGTGTTGCATAACTGAAAAATATCTCTGCAACACATTATCAGATTTGATAGAAATCTTCAGTTTTGAAAAGGCAACATCTTAAGCTTTAATTTGATACCAAAAAGCAAGTTCTGACAATTATTTTGAGACAAAATTAATGTTACTTTTGGGTTGCATGTTTGGGAGATTTAATACCCTGTACAGAGAGAGTGGTGATGACTTAACTTAAGAAGCCATTTTGATTTTAATGTCTTGCAAACGATCAAACGAAATGATCAACGATGCAACTTTGATTTGTCACGTCACCTCTAACCCTAACTTCCTCTGGTGAGTGTAAAATCATATTGAAATTGGAGGATTTAGGACTGGTAAGGTTAATCTAATAATTTATAGCCATTATCCGATCAACTAGTGCAAACCCACACACAATATTGCAAAACATAATGGTGTCATACATCACCTCAAGCGGCTAACCATTCTGTTATACAGATAAGGACTAAGCAAGAATGGAGTGCTGTTTTTTTGTTTTTTTTTCATGTAGGTATGTGGCTCTTCCTTGGTCTATAGCCAGATATCTTGCAATGTCATTTTCCTTTGCAGTCTGCCATAGGAACAGACGTTTGACATTTCATTCAGCTCCCTAAGCTGAAGTCTCTGTCAAGCATGTTTTTTCATGAGAAATCCAGACCGACATCTACGATGTACATTATGAATGCCACATGACTGAATCCCACAAGAACATGAGACCATAACCACAAGGTACAGGTAACTTTGACCCATCAACTGAAAAACTAGGGGTTTTTTTCCCCGTAAGCGCCATCCTTGGGAAGTCCCTCAACTTTCTACCTTACTTCTTCAAATACACCAAACGTTGTAATGGCAAAAACATTCATGGAAATTGATAGATCAATGAATCACACTGATATGCCACACTATGCAAAAATGGTGCGTGCTAGCGTTTGAAAGCCACCAGGGAGTAAACAACTCAACCTGCATGACACAGGTTGAGTTTAAGTGACACCACCACATCAATATTCCCTCGCTGAAAACATCTAAACTCAAGACTGACCTACATCTAAAACTGACTTGAGATAACCTATGATGCAGAAGGCAATTCATGAATTATAACAGGTCCATGCACTTGAAGGGGCTGATCTAGCATTACGTGACATGAGCAATTCTGAAAAAGTGAGCTGCCCAGCATTGAGTTGAGGAGGTCTTTATTCGACTTCACTGTCGACAACCTGCACTTATTAACCTCCAGATAATTAGTCCCTCTTCCACGCTCATATAAAACACAAAATAATGAAATGCACACGGATACCTTAAAACTATATGTAAATTCAACATTATTCCATTGACACTTTGTGCAAAATGTGCAATTATAAATGAGAACTGTATTTAACATTAACGAAAGTGCACCCCATGCGACAAATGAGGAAGTTCAAAGTGTTTATTTGATGAAACTAGTCCGCTCTTCACAAGTTTCTTGAAGTTTGAAACAAAACTATATGGCACTTACTTTAGCCTTCAGCTCTAACAGCTTAACCTGCTGGGTGGACAGTGGAAGTGTTTCTCCATCAGAGCCTGTAATGTAAAAGCAGACAGAAACTGATGATAAACTGGAATGTGTAGGTAAACCACTAACATTTAGTGGGTGATCCACTAAATGCTATAATTAAACCATGTTCCAAGTCCAACAAGCACACTGACACGTGGCATAGGTCACTTCAAAATACAGTCTGACAAACTGTTTACTGGAGCCTTTAATTATAGACCGATACGAGGAGATGCTGTAACTACATTCACACACGCTTCCTTAAACTTGAGCTCTCATTTTGTAAGTAACAACTCCCTGTCGGTCAATAAGGAATGTTACACATACGTACAACCTGCACTGCAGCATATTACCAGCGCTGCTTTGATTACTGGCTTAGTCTAAAGGTAGCAGGATGAATATTTGGACCAACAGGAATGCTACAAAAGTCACATACTGACAGGACTCAGACAAGGACGTCTTGGACTGTAGTCCGAGCCTGAGCCCTTTTGCCAACAATTTTAATATTTCTTATAAACTAGTGACTAAACATTAAGATCTCTACTCCTTCACAGGGCATGTACTAGGGGCAACAGTCTCCACTCTTAGACTTGATTCAAGCTACTCACATCTGTGCATTATATGGTAGGAAACTTGGCAACTCCTCAACTAAGATACCACATCAACCCCAGCAATATCCTGGGTGTGCTTCATAAATATGCCTTTCACTGAATTAATAACGATTGCCAAATTTTTTAGCAAAAAAGCAGACTAAGCTAACAGCACTTTTCTCATCTGAGAAGGCATTCAGCTTTTGATGATGCAGCACTTCATAAAAACAAGGAATACCAACTTTGCCAACACTAAAGGTAATTCACAGTTTATGATTTCTTTACAAAGTCTTTAATGTTTGTTTTCAGCTACCAACCTTCAAGCCAGGATGAAATTGAAGGATAGGGGCATCTGACCGACTTGCCGGATGCGGGGGGGGGATGACTGGATATTATTTGACACCCGAGGGCGCTGTTTAACATTTATGACATTAAATATGACAGCTTTGTTTTAAGTTCCCATTACCCCCAATTCAGACATTGTAAAATGCAATTAGCAGTTTTGAGACTGACTTCTACCCTTTTCTCTACTTTTAGGGGGGAGGGGAGCTTCGCTTTGTGTTTTGTTGTGCTTTTGCTACGGAAAGGGGCAAATGTGTAATAAAATATGGGACATCTGATCCATGTTTCTTTAATGCACAATAGTATTTTACATGTACTTGTTCTTGTTTGAGAAGCTCCATGATACAACATTGTTTTAATGTGCATCAATGAAAACTAACTACAAAACAAGCTTAACAGGCCTACACAGAACACCTCAGTTTTCATTTCATTTGGAAAAACTTCAATCAGAATAGTTTCTTGGGGTTTTAACTCAAGTTAGATTATTCTATGTACACAAAAACAGGCATGCCTACTTAAAAATTAACTTGCACCTAGGCCCCTACTATTGTTTGTACTTTCTTCCAAACTTATTCTCATTATCGATATCGCAAGGTTAGATGTTTGTGCCGAAAACAATAAAAAGTTTGGCCTTAAAATAAGGAACATACACTACACTACCAAAAAGTAAATGAGCACAATTAACACAACCAAAAATATAAAGAAAATGCTCTGTTTCACACTACAATGTGAAGATACCCGGCATGGACACCAAAACACAAGACTGCGCGTGGATGGGCTGCCATGTGGTACAGTACCATGCACGTACCATCGCCACGGCCTTACCAAAAATCGTCCTCATAAACCACGACAATGCATATCAAAATAACCATCGATACAAATGCATTTGAGAAGAAACTACAGTGAGAGGAAGACCAAGTTACTTGTAGCTTACTTCGACAGTTTGCGAGGTGACACTGTTTGACAAGTACCGTGCTGCCAGCCATGCTATCGCGGCTGTGCACAATCCAGAGCTGTAGTCTGGCTCCTAAACCGTCTACTCTTGCTATTAATTTGTCAGCGGCGTGGTATGAACCAGTATTGTGATTGCTGCGTGTATGTGATGTCTCCACAGAGCTAGCTGTCCATGTACTGTGGAAACTTGTGCGCGTGTACGACGTGTGTACTATGTGGCGTTGTGGAAGTGTCGTTTGATTTCGGTGCATTTTGCCGATATTCTGGTACCTTTTTGTCAATGTTTTTGAAGAATTCTTTTTTCAAATCTCTGATTGCAATGTTTCTTAAACTTAGTATTAGCATTCCTGCAGGAAAATAGAAGCGTATCGATTGCGTATCGGGGGATTTTCAGCATGTCGGGGGTTTTTGCTCAGGGTATCGGCCCGATATGCTTTTGAATACCTGGCTAGAACACTGTCAGCTACAATCTACCAAACGACTCACAGAACAAAAGAGGAATCAAGATTTTTGTAGTGTTCTACATTGAAAGGAAATTTCAACAGCACTATCACAAGTAGAAATCTGAACATTTGGAAAATGATAAAAAACACCAGCCCCCTCCAAAAAACTGAAATACATCTTCCCCAAAAAACTATAATTCTATGAGTGAAGCTTTACCTTCAGTTGCCAGTGTTGACCCAAGTTTCCACACCTCTAAGTGAGCTGGAAACTGGAAGAGCAGGAACTCAGCATCGGGGGCACAGCTCACACGAGATCTCTGAGGAGGGCAAAGAAAGGGGTCAAAAAGAAAATCATGAAACTAGGAATTCACAGCCGTGGAAAAGAGCGCATGCCCGTGTTCCACAAACTGGTCTCAATGTACACATCCTAAGTAACAAGTCAGAGCTATACCAAATCAATTGAGTACCGCCTCCTCATTCCCCGTATGGAGAAACTTTGGCATCAACCCAAAGACAAGCAAGTGGAATTTATGTGCATATTTGTAGAACACAATGAAATACAATGGAACCGATTCTAAATAATGTACTCCAAATGCAATGTGCAAGCAAGACACACTGGATAACACATCAGGGGTTTATGTGCATTTTCTATTTAGTGTGACGCATTACAAAGCCACACCTAAATTCATCTGCAATGCGTATGCACAAGCAAATTATTTGTGTTGCCTACACAGAGCAAAACAAACTGCCAGTGCTTTTACTGCCAGTGCGGTTTGGTTTTTGGCGTATCGACTTTGATGACACATCATTTGAGAATATGCAGTTATGCAAATAGCTGCACAAAATATGGAGTTTTCCACAGGTGTGTGCAAAATAAAAGTGAACCTAGCAGGCTTAACTTTGCACATTAAGTTGCATAGCGCTCTAGTAATTAAATGCATCTCTACAGGTAACAACCAAGCCCTTTTTGCAACCCTGTGTCATATTTGTGGCTGTGTGAGAGGCCGGAAGCCATAATGAATAAAAAAGGAAACTGCAGTCATTCTTGAGATGCATTTGCATGTGTAACTCTCAATACATTGCATGAACTGAAAACATTTTAACTTTATGCTATCTTGAATTGGGGCATGTGGCCAAGTAGTTAGGGTTTGTGGCTTCCAATCATAGGGTTGGAGGTTCGAATCCAGCTGCTGGCAGTATGTTGTGGCCCTTGGCAAGCCTCTTCACCCCTGCTTGCCTCTCTCCACCCCGGAGTATAAATGGGTACCAGCATTAGCTGGGGAAGCAACCTGCGATGGACTGGCATCCCATCCAGGGGGGAATAGAATATTCTCAGTCGTTTCATACCAAGGAAACCGGAGATAAACACCAGCCTGATGAGCCAAAGTGGCTCGGACCAGACTTGCTATCTTGAAATAACCGGCCCAATCGGCAGGTCGTTTTCTTGCTATTAAGGAGTATACCTATGTTTATCTCAAGTAACATAATCAAACAGATATCAAAGATGACATTTTAACTTCTCTCTTTATAGCTTGTACACCTCATTGCAATGTAATTAGTGCTGCAGCCAAACGCCGAACCAAACCAAAAATCATCAAACATGGCACTTTCGATACGGTTCGGATGTTTTGCTTTAATATGGCATGGAATACATGTATATAGTGCCCAGAATGCATGCAAGAAAACTTGATAAAAAGCAAACATAACGAAAAATAGATAACAAGGTATGCTGCACCGGCGCTCGGCATATGTACATGGCGTGTACACACGTACATGTACACATACTATAAATGTACATGTACGTGTACAGTTAACTTACGATGGCACCGCATCATGCCATGGTTGTACAAAGCACGTAGTGAGAATTCACTAATAATCAACTGAGAACATGCAACGTATGGCTTTTCCGCTGCACAATTCTAAATTCTCACTACATCCAATTGTGCTTATGTATATTCAGATTTCGCATTATGTTTGCTAATCTCCGATAGCCATGCCCTTCATTCCATATTAAGCCAATGATGTCATAAATGGCCGTGCGAAATGAAGTTTGATTGGATGCTGATCACAGTTGGACTCATGCTCGATCAAAGGCAACTCCAGAGGGAAAACTGATTTTGCCAGGTGGTCCAGTGCAGTGCTCCAGCGTGCGACAAGATTTGGTTGGTGACGGTGACCTAACTTGCCTTTCATTTGATCATGTTTGGTCAAAGTCATAGTGTGAATACATGGTAATGGAATTTTGCCAGATTTCTAAGTTGTTCGCAAATCTCAAATAACAAAATGCCGTTATCCATTTGAAAAAGACTGATGGAAAATTGCCCCTTTGGCCACGTGGGCGCCGTCCTGGAAAAGAATGCTGACTTGATACCAAGGTTCTTCTTCAAATACATCAAAAGCCATGGTTTGACAGTTGAATCTGTTTTGTGAAAAATAACCAAAACACACTTCACTCGAAATCCAATTTGATCTTGTATCCTGTAAAGGAGGAAACTCCCATTTTCAGCAAGCTGTTTTTTCCGTTTTCACATATCCTATGATCATTTTGTTGAGTCAAGCGTGGTCCAAACACAACCTCGACCGGTAAAACATGGTCGGAAACTGTCAAACCAGCCACGGTAACTTTCTATGGAACTTTAACACCTGTACAAACAGTCATGGGGAACAGTTTAGAAAAAAATGATGTTCATATCGAAGTTGCTCGTGGATGGGGATGGAGAGGAGATTCATTGCTTATATTAACCCTCCTATGCTGAAGTCACTTTTTGGGTCACTTGGTAAACACCTCAAAGAAGCACAGCTGTGTCG